GGCCGACAGCGTGCCTTAGCGAAGGTATGCAACCTTCCAAAGGAAAGGGGCCTTTGTCGAGGCAATATCCCGCGGTGGTACCACAACTCGAAAACTTATAAATGTGAGAAATTTTTTTACGGAGGCTGCAATGGCAACGGCAACAACTTTTTGAAAAAAGAATTGTGCGAGAAAGCCTGCAAGAACACCTGATTTCCTAATGAGAACACGACCCTCCCTGGAATGAGGATTTGCTCTGGGGCAATAAAAAGCATTTTTTTGTGTGTGAACAAAAGACGCATTCTTCAACCCCAATTATTCTCCCTACTGTGTTCTTAAAATCACTCATATCTGTGTCTGAAATACTACAAATGTTGTCAACATGCTTAAAATCTCAAGACCTTTTTAAAATACACACATACATACGTTCAAATACACTGGGGAGATCCAGAGCTAACAGTCATTCACACTTAGTTTGAATTCTTTCTTAGCCTATTTGGAGAATAAAGGTTTTTAAAGAGAGCGGGGTGAATTTGAAAACCTGGGCATGATATTAGAAGGGGCTACACTGGACAAGGAGTCCCGTGAACCAAGATAGGGGGACGACAGAAACCAGAGAAGAAAGGGAAATGGGGAGAGGAACTGAAGATATTAAGGCCATTTTTAATGTAAAAATTAGTGAAATTTTATAAAAACCCTTATCTTCTAAAGCTACGCCATGTCTTCCTGCCATGGGCTACATGGGAAGAGGACTGAAGAGCTCTTTTTCTGGAGTCCCTTCATTTGCCTTAAGCGACACCAATTATTACGATTTGGAGGGAAAAGAGAACACGTGGGATCATCTGGGTCAGTTATCTAAATCGCAGAGAAAGAACGGAGGACCGGAGGTGGACAGAGACGTCTCTAAAATCACAGGGTAGGAATGAAACAGGCATCACTGATCCAAGGAAAACACCTTTTCCTCTGCATTGCAATGCTCCCCCCAGAATTCTTCTAAATTACTTCTGATCTCAGGGATCGGGGGTTGGAATTGAAGATGGAACATTCAGTTGGGCTGGAGATATACCCATTCTACCCTGGAGAGCCAGGTCCCCAGACTTTAATCTTGGGTGTGGTCACGGAAACAGCCTGGGGCTTAGTTCCAGTCCCTCTTAGCCGTGGTCTAGGGACAGTTCTGCTCATTCAGGGACCCTCCCAGGGACCTGCTGGGAGTCACACTTATAATAGGCCAGGAACCAAGCTAAGTGCTCTACATACAGTATCTCATTTAATATTCCCAACAGCCCAGAAAGGAAGATTCTATTAATATCTGTATCTTACAAATGAAAAAGCCTGACTCTAGGGCCCGTGTGCCTAATCCGTTCGCTATCATTAACATTCACCTTGGCCATGACCAGCCCAGTCCCTGCTTACTTCTCTATCTCATAAAATCCCCTGAACCCCTCCATGTGGACTACAAAGGGATATTCTGGGCCTGCCTGCTTCTACCTTTTCATGTTCGCATTTTGGGGTTCTTGAAAGCAGGGATCTCACATGACACATTTGTCTCCTACACTAAGCTAAAAAAAAAAAGCAACGCACAGAGTAAGTACTCAGCTGATACTTGTTCATTAGCGAAGACTAATAAGAGAATGACACGTGCTCTTGGGACTCGAGGCCTTGCCTCAGGAGCCGTCCCACCTCTTGCTGCCTCCGTGATGGACCATCAGCAGCTGGATCTCCACGCCCTGGAACTCTAGCCCTGCTCGGCCTTTCCCTTTCTGCCTTAGCTCCCCTGACCTTGCCACCCTATGGCTGGGGCAGCAGTTGAGTCACACTAGTGGGGAGGCCCATGATCTGCCATTGCCTTCTTCTCCCAGTGGGGGCCTGGGCACGGGTACAGGGGGCTCAGAGTTACGCACGCACATGCCGTGGCATTTCAAGGAAGGCTATGGCGGCCACCATCCCTGCTTAGAATGGCGGCACCAGGATGCAGTCAGGAGGCCATTCGATGGGGTCAACCTCTCCGGCCACCCCGATCCGCATATGGAGCATAGTCCGGCACAGAAATTGCAGTTCTTTAGATTTCATCCTTAGGACCATGGAAAGGGGGAGATTGATTTCCCTACCATAGCTGGGGGGCACAGAGCTTCGGTCTGGCAGCTGGCAGGGGAGGAGGAATCCAGCGGCTCCTTCCAAGTTCCACCTTTTATACCTCAGCAAACCAGACTCTCACCAGCAGGCAGCACCGAAGCACTGAACGCACGGTTGGGTTTTTGTCGGTCTTCACTCTGTTTTTACGTTTTCTTCCCCCTCTCACTTTTGCTACGAACGTGTGGTCGAATTATCAACTGAGTAAACACAGTTATGGGCAGGAAAGGGAGTATTCGATGTGTTTGCTGTATGATTATTTCATAAGCTCAAGAAGTATTTACTGAATGAGCGAATGCCTCTGCTCGTGCTGTTCCTCAGGCAAGGCTATTCTCTACTGGTCTGTCTTTAGAACTTCATTTTTCAGGCTTTGACTCACTCGCAAGTAACTTCCTACCATCCCGCCAACCCCAAACTTGCACTTTCCTGTGCAACAAATGTTTGTTTACACCTAGGTGTCACCCTCCATGGCCCTCTGGAATGGAGACGGAGCTTGGAGGCATCAGCAAAGCAGTTTGCCGCTAGAGATGGGAGAAGGCGAGCGGCACAGGAAGAAACGCTGCCCCGAGCTCTGGAGGGGCGGCAGGCCTGAGCCGTCCTGGGAGGGGCCATACGGGTGCCGGTCCCATCTGGAGCCAGCAGTTTACCGGGATTTCTGGCCCTGGGGCCATCTCCTGGCCCAAACTAAGCATCGCTGTGGTCTAGCTACAGAACACGGAGCCCATCGAAACCTGGAAAAAACGCTGGAAGGGACCCCTCTTCCCCCTCCTCCCCCTCCTCGGCGAACTCCTTCAGAGTCCCCGACCTACAGCAGTCCCTTGGCTGCAAAAGGTGATCAAAGAAAGGTCCTGGGCCAGGGGCTCCTTCTAACCCCCCTCCACCCAGAGTTTTCACCTGACCCACTGTGTAGCTTTCTCACTCAGCGAAACCTCGGCCACCGCATACCCCACTGTTGGCAGTTTATTTCTTGAGTTAAATCAGGAGTAGCAAATTTGCCTGCCAACTTCAATCAATGGGTAGCTTGTAGCAGCGGCCGGGAGCCCGGTTTTAAAGAGTCTAGGCTCACATGTCGGCTTACAAAAGGAGAAGCACGAGTGAGAAAGTTTTACAGTGTGCGTGCGGTGGGAGGAATGTTGGCGTGCACACAGAAGGCGGACAGCTGCCATCCCCGAGTTCGACATGGCCCTGCCTGGGGCTTTCAGAATGCAACCCTGGAGAAAGTGGAGGGGGTAGTAGCCATATTTAGTCCCTAACAACTCTCCCCAGCCCATTGCTGGATACCTTTTTTTTTTCTGCTTAGAAGGGCTAGGGAGACCCGAGCATGGGCAGGGGTAGAAATCAGGAAAGGAAAGGTTAGGAGAAAAGCTACACGGCCATCTATTGCCAGGAGGCTGCCCTCTCTGGGCACCCCCCCTCTCATCCAGGAGATCCCTTCACCTTGTATCCCCAGGATAGGGGGTGAGAGGAGGTGGATGGAGAAGCCCTTGGTTCTTGCCTAGCTCTTGGCCAGGGGGCAGGGAGCTGCAAGAGAATGAGAAAGATGAGGCTGGTCAAATACCAAGCCACCAAGCTTTTCTGTCTCTACACTCAAGCTGCCCTGATCGCTCACATTCCACAGTGGGCGGAGGAACAGGGAAGGACATAAAGCCTGTCCTCGAGGACCAGTGTCACTGCCATAACTTCCGTCCTCTCCCTCATCCTCACCCCAAAGGCTAAACCCATGCCCTACGGATTAAAGTGAGAAATCACTGCAGTGGAACAAGCATGGGACTCTGGTGTCAGATGACTTGGGTTCAAATCTAGGCCTGCAAAAGGTCAAAAGTAACCTAAATAGTCTCAGTAGAAGTGCGGTTAAAAAAATTTTGTACGTCTAAACAAAGGAAAGAATGAAGAAATGCTTTCTGCTTTACTGTGGAGCGATGACGATACATTAAGTGGGGGGAAAAAAGCAGATACAACACAATGTGTATACGATGCTATGATTTGTATAAAAAGGTGGAACAGATGAGAATTTTATATCTACATATCCCTAGATAGATGGAGATAGATGATAGAGATGAGAGGAATAGAGGGAAGGGGTAGGGAGGAGGAGAGAGAAACAGGTATGGAAAGAAGGGATGTGGAGGGATGTGTAAAGGGTGACAGAGAGGGAGTCTCGAGAAGGGGATAAAGAAAGATAAAGAGAGAGGGGCATGGAGAAGGGGGGACAGAAAAGAGGTGATAGAGAAGGATAAAGAGAGGAGGACAGAGAGGGATAGAGAGAAGACAGAGAGAGAGGAGAGGGGGGAGAGAGAGAGAGAGAGAGAGAGAGACAGAAGAGAGTGAGGGATAGAGAGGGGAAAATAGAGAGTGGATGGAAAAGGGGGCCAGATAGAGGAAGGGCGGGGCAGAGGGAAGGAAGGAGGAGGAGGGAGGGAGAGAGAGGGAGCCATCTCTCTGAACGAACGCACGAGGAACTGTTGACATTCGTCGTGTCTATAGAAAACAACTGGGTGGCTGGGGTTGGAGGGAGGGAGTCAAGGGCGAAAGATGCTTTAGATCGTACATCCTTTTTTTCCCTTTTGAATTTTGATCCATGGGAATATATTATGTGTACAAAATAATAGTTTGATTAACAATGACAACAAAAGACCCCGGCTTTGCCACCTTCTTTCTCTGTGGCTGCAAGAGAGTAACTTGGTGGAGACCCCACCTGTAACACGGGACCGTCATCAACTACTCTGGAGATCTCACCAGTGGATCAACCCGCCCTTCATCCGCACACAGTACGTGCAGCTGCTGCTACCGAGAACCCCCAGCAATAAATCGGGATGGCCTCAGGAGCATCATCTCTCGGAGCCTCGGTTTCCCCTTCCGTCACCCTGAGAGAAGAACCACCAGCCACACGAGACAAGCCCTGAATTTATATTTATTGTATTAGAGTTGATCCCTCCCTGGACTTCATGCCCGGATGGTCAGGTCATGCCCCCACTCCCGCCACCCCACCTCGACCCAGAGTCAGGGGAGGCAGGGGCAAATGGTAAGAATGGAGGCCACGGCCCTACCAGTGCTGGGAATGGTCATTTTATTGGGTGGCAAAAGGAGAAGCTGTGGTCAGTGCAGGAGAGAGTGCAGAGGCCAGGAAGGGGAAGGGCAGCTGGGTCGGAGCCAGACAGGGCCAGGCAGAAACTTCTGCTATCTGAATCCTCAGGGGCTGGTGGCAGGAGCTAGAGGAAGAAGACCATAATAAAACCATGGATGACAATATCCGTAATAATAGACAAGAGCACCTGCAGCTTAAATTCTGGACCAATCCTTTGCCTCCCACAGCAAGGCCACACCTTCTGGAGGCCCTGGGCCTCTGCTTGTACTTCTCTGCAGGTCCTCGACTCATCTCTTCTGCTTCAGACCGTCCCCAGGACACACTTGGCTATACCATGGTCCCAACAGACCGCGTGGCCTTCCTCAGGAGCCATCGTCATTTGTTTCCCTCAATATCCCTCTACCATCAAGATGTTCCACCATGCCTCCATTCCTTAGGTTAAGCTGGGATCAGCTGATCAAAGAGATCTCATTCATCTCATTTTATGAGAAAGGTAACTGCAGCTCAGGAAGGTGAAAGGCTAGTTAAGTGTCAGAGCTGGAATTTGAACCTGTGTCCTCCTGACTGCAAAGCCCAGTCATGCTGTTGACACTCACGGAGGCAGGAGATGGTTGGCATGGCTGCAGAGCCCTGGGCCCTAGTGGGGCTGTGCTTCCCTCTCAGGCCGTACACCTAGAAATAGCAACCACGGCGCCTTGGGCATGTCCTCTCCTCTCTTGGGGTCTCCGTCTTATCTTTGCAACACTGGGTTCCCTTGCGGCCTGCCGAGAGCTTGTCAGAGGCAGCACAAAATCAACAACGAGATTTTAACCAAAAGGTGCTTCCAGGTTCTTGCTCATTCTATTCCCTGTGCCTGAAACAGCCTGCACCAGACTGCCCAGCCTTCTCTTGCCCTGTCAGACTGGCTCAGGGTCACCCCTCTGGGAAGGCTGCTTCCCCCTCCCCCCGCCCACAACTGGGTGAGCTTTGCCTCCTCTCCGTTCCCTCCACTGCAGCACCAACGACAGGCGCTGGGAGTGTCTGTCCATCTGTTCACCTCAGACACTGGGCCGCGAGTTCTGTGAGGAAGGGCAAGGGTCATCTTCTGCCCCAGCACCTGGCTTCGAGACGGTGGCACAGTGGGTGGCACAGTGCTGGATCTCCCAATGGGCCAACTGAGCATGTGCTTTGGGTTTTGTTTTTCTGTACTTCCCCACACTTACTTTAGGACTTAATATTGTTTTATTTTGGTTACACATGGAGGAAAGGGAGGCTCCACAATCCTTTCTTGGCAGTGTTGGAGCTACCAGCGGTGGCCGAGTAGAGCCCCAGTCTGCCACAGCGTAAGCGCTCGGCACACTTCAAACACACATGTGAGGAAGTGAACTGAAGTTAACCGACCTCTACCATGTTCATCCTGAAAAGCGGAGCTTCTTGGCAAAAGTAAAGATGAACGCTTCTGCCTCCCACAAGTCATGCAAAGAGCTTCCTATGTCCCCAGAGGCCCTCCAACCACCGTCCCCTCTCCCAGGACACAGCTGCTCCTCCAGCTGCTGAATTATTTAAGTGTATGTTAAGGAAACAAAGGAGTAAATCTCTTCATTTGCAAATATTGTCCCATCTACCTTCACATATGTCCCAAACTCAGCCACCTAATCTTCCCAGGTCCATCATCTCCCACCTGGCCTTTCTCAGGAGCCTCCTCGCTGGTCTCCCTGCTTCTGTCACGGTCCCTACAGTCCATTCTCCACCCGGCAGCCAAAGCAAGCCTTTTCAAACCTGAGTCAGAGCATGTCTGACTCCGGGTCAAGACCAAAGTCCTTACAACGTCCTACGAAGCCCCTAACAGCTGCTCGCTTGCTTCTCATTTCTGTAACCCTCTCCTCTCCTTGCTCCGGCCTCTGCGTTCCCCGAAAAGCACCAGGATGCTCCTGCTTCTCCATCTGCTGCCTCCCCAGATGTCCTCACAGCTCCCTCCCCGACCCCGCAGGTTAGCGCCCTCAAGCCTTTGTTCAAATGCTGCTTTCTAGGTGGGGCTTCCCCCGACTGTGCCCCTTGTAAAGATGGCAACACTGCTCCCTGCCCAACCCACCTCACCCCAGTAATCCTTAGCCCCCTTAATTTTTTTTCTCCATGGCACTTATCTCTAACATTCTATGAACCTATCTGTTGATTTATTTTGTTTATTGTCCACTAGCATATCAGCTCCATCAGAGAGAAATATTTCTGCCTGATCTGTTCACTCATGGAGCATCCCCAAAGCCTAGAGCACAGCATGGCACGTGATAGATGTTCAAGAAATATCTGTTGAGTGGATGAAGGTACATAAACATATGGACAGTATAAGTGAACAGAAGTATGTTTGCCCAGGTCCTCCGTTTCAGCCTCCTGCAGGGGTCATCACATCTGGGCATCAATGCGCTTCCTTCCTCCCTCCCACTTACCTCAGAAGACAGGGGTGACACAGGACACTTTCCCACAACCGTTGCGGCAGCATTTCATCTGGCCAGAACACTGGCTGTCCACTTGGCATTGGTCCCGGCAGAGGCCAAGCGGGGTCAAGGGAAGGTCCACCTTGGGGCAGGAGCCCGGCTTTTCTGGGAAGAAAGAGGAGCAGGGGGAAATGGGCGGAGGGAGATGCAGGCAGAAGAACACTTATCCTCAGCCTGACTTCCCACCGCTCCTCGCCCCGGTTTCCCAGGAGATCTCAGGGGACCTAGGAAAATCACCCGCAAGCCCCTCGCCCTCCCCATCGCGCTCACTCCATCCTTGGTTTTAGAATCACAGGGCCTAGGTTTGCGTCCCAGCACTGCCTTTTCCTAGGGACAGAAAACTCTCAGAGTCCCAGTGTCTTTAGGTGTTACGTGAGATCAGTGCTGCTCACACCGTGAAAGCGATGGAGGCCATATACCTATATTATGTCTCCCTGGGAAACTACACTACTTTGTAATAATAATAGTAATGAGTAACTAGAACAGTTAACATTTACTTAGCCCCTTCTACATGTCAGGTGTTATTCTAAGCACTCGATGTGTATTAACTCATCTAATCTTCTCAATCATCTTTAAAGAGGGAGAGAGGTATTGTTAATATTTTCTCATGTTGCAGATAAGGAAACTGAGGTACCAAGAGGTGAAGTAATTTGCCTAAGGTCATACAAGGTGGAGGCAAGATTTGAAGTCCAGGAATCTGGCTTCAGAGCCTATGAGCCATGGATTCTGCTGCTTTGTAAGCTGTAAAGCGCGATGCACATGTGAGGGGTTACACACCCATGATCTCGTCACTCACTCCCACCTACTCACTCCCAATTACCACCACGCAGCGCCATGGCCCCCCATACACACTCATCCATGCACAGACAAGCATTCTTCCACCAACACACACACACACACACACACACACACACACACACTAACAGCTAACGCTGCAGAGATGTGCCACTTACAATGCTCTTTGTGAAAATCTATTACATCAAATCTCTCTTCCGCAGGGGACATTTCTAACCATTGCTATCGTAGATGAGGGAAATGAGACACAGGGATGCAAAGGCACCACCCAACCCCACAGTGCTGGTCAAAAATAAAACCAAAACCTGAGTCCAAGCCTTCCAACCTCTGTTCACACACACACACACACACACACACACGCATGCACACACCACACTCCACTTCCTGGGTCAAGGAGAAGGGAGCTTGGCTCACTTCCCAGAAGTCCCAAGGGCAAGCCCAGCCAAGTGTCAAACACAGGCACAGAACTGGGTGATTAGCAGCAGAGGACAGGGGTGGCTGACTTCCTAGCACAAGGAAATCCATTCTTTCGAAAAAGGCAGAGGCTCTTTCTACTAGCCTGCTCTCGGACAAAGGGCATCTTTACTGACATAGCAAGCCACTGTGTATAGAGGATCTACTCTCTACTGTAAAGACATTTCATATATATTATTTTATTTAGCCCTCATGTCATTCTTATAAAGTTTGAGTGAGAGATAAGAAAGCAGATGCTCAGAGAGGTAAAGAGACTTGCTCAGGATCACACGACTAGCAGATAGCAGAATTAGGATGCTAGTTCAGGAGGCCACCCAGCCCTGGCTTGCTTTCTGCTTCAGTCTGTCCATCTGAGACAAGGGGACAGCAAAGACTCCACCTAACAGCAGAGATTTCTTTCGCCTCTCCCCCTCTCTCAGCTGTCTGCCTGCCTCTTGCTTTCTCTCCCAATCTCCACCTCTCCTTCTGCTCCTCCTCTCTCTGGTCCAGATTAGAGGCCTCCAGATCCAGAAGCTGCCGGATGGGCAAGTCCTCCCCCCACCTCCCATCTCCCTGTTCATCAGTGTCTGAGGTCTCTAATTACAAACCTTCCCGGCCCCTGCCGGCATCTTTGGAGAAATAACAAGGAAGGAAAAATCACACGGGCTGTATTCTGGATAAGGACTATTAATCACAGTAGCTTGGTACCCCGAAGTCATAGCTCTGCTTCTAGCCCTCAGTTTTTCCCTGTGAAAAACGAGGAGCTTGGATTCCATGCTTTCTAATGCCACTTCCCACTCTGATGGGAGTCCCCTAACCTAGCGGAGAGACGAGAGCTAGCAAGCACTATTTATGGAGCACCCGAACATTCTCACGTGTTTTCTCTCTCACTCAATCCCTAGAGGCAAGAGATTGCTTTAAAGATCAGGAAGGGGGAGAGCTACTCAGGAAGGAGTCTTAACTTTCTTCAAACCACTAGGCAAAAGTCGCACTCCCTGGCTGGGACCCCTTCCGAGCCACGGGCTGGCGGCGCCACCTTGGGCAGGAACCTTTCTTTCTCCTAAATCGGTAAGGTCGCTTTCCGTCTGGACAGAAGAGTCCGGGGAGTCTTGTCAGGCCAGGCACCCTGAGTCCTTCCCTCTACGGGTAGGGCAGGCCCCAGGGGACGGACTTCGAGAGGGATGAGCACCCCAGGCCTAGGGACCCCACCCACTCGCCACCTCTGGGCTTCCCCCGCGGCTCCACCTGCGGAGGGAGCAAACTATGAAACCCGGTCCCCTGACCTCCCGAAACAACGATCCCGCTGTGCGTGCCCGGAAGCCGGTCATGCACCAGAGAATCGAACACAGCTCGGTGTGGCGGACTCTGACTGCGCGCTGCGGCTCAGAGACTCCTTCGTGTCCCCAGGCCCATGCGAGGGAGCGTTCGGGCCGATCCGGTTCCATCCGCCTAGACTTCGCCAGGGGTCCCCGGTCTGCGAATCGTCCCGCTTCCCGGAACCCAGGCTCTCCCGCTTCCTCCCTGCGCCCCGCCCCGCCCCGGGGCCGGTCGCCCTGGGGTTACCATTGGGCATATGGCAGACGCTGGCGCAGCCGGCCCGGCAGCACTTGAGGTTGTCCGCGCATTTTCCATCCGAATTGCACTCCTGCGTACAGTTCAGGTCCTCCTTTAGCTTGGGGCACACGCCTGCTTTCTCTTCCACTGTTTCTGGGAGGAGAGGCAGAGGACGGACAGTGGGGACCGAAGCCCCGGCCCCAGAGGATGCCCGCCTCCTGCTCCCTTGGATCTCAAGTTCAAGCTTCAAGGAATTCTCGGTCTCTGGCCCTAGACAACCCCCGCCCTCCTTAGAGACTTCAGCGGACCCCACTTCCAGGCCAGGGGTCCCCAACACCTGGGAGTACAAGAGTTACCTAACTCTTGGCCTCAGAGCCCGCTATCCTTAGGGACCCCGGGCACAGCTGACGGTCTAGGAGCTACCGCTGTCTAAACAGAGGGTCACCCCGGAGGCTACTGAGTCTCCACCCTCAGCACAAAGCCTCTCCCCCAAATTTCAGTCTTCGGTGGCCTCCCGGTCTCCAGCACTTTGCACCCCACACCCTAAGCTTCAAGAGTCACCATCTTTAGGAGCCAGGGGTCCCCAAAGTTTAGTTTTCATGGGTCTCTTCACTTCCGCCCCAGGAATCCCCGTGGCTCCAGCCGGCCGAGAGGCTACGCCTCTGCGGCGCTGCGTCCCGGCCCGGCCCTCTGGGCCTCTCCCTGCCCCACTCACTTGTGACCCGGGCGAAGCCGAAGCCGAGCAGCAGCAGGCCAACGAGGAGGGCGGCGACGAGCGGACCCGGGCGGCGGGTAGGCATGGTGCTGCGCCCGGCCCGGCGGCGTGCGGATGACAGCCGCCCGGGCCCGGATGGGGGGATTTAACCGCGCGAGAGGGGGGCGTGGGGTAGGGGCGGGGCCGAGCCGGCAAGGTAGACGGGTCTGCGGGCATCATGGGCTGGCTGCCACCTCCTGCCATTTCACAATCCTCTGAGATCAGGTGTCACTCTTGGCCCTGGTGGGAACCAGGAACCTAATCAGCTTCCAGGCCAGCGCAGCTCGACCAGCTGCAGCCGGACCCTGGTCCACTCCTCCCTTCCCTCCTTCCTCCTGGTGCCTGAGGGCAGGACCGCGGTAGGAGAGGATCAGACCTAGGACTTCTGGATTCCCATTCCAAGACTCTGGGGTCTCCCCATAATGCCCAGGGACGGACGGGGGACTAGGGGGAAAAGGCAAGGCCCACAAGGAGGCAGTAGAGCCTGGAGATTAAGTGGTTGAATTTGTGGTCAGCCAGAGCAGCGCAGATCCCTCTTCGGGGATTAATGATGGAGGGATAGTAGTAGCGAGTAGAGAAAAAGCAGTTGTTATGAATAAATGAACCCATTTGACACAAGAAACTGAGGCCCATGAAGGTGAAACACCTGTTAACGGTCTCCAGCTGTTTTTGGTGTGTTTCTCTCTTTCTCTTGTCCACACCCGGCCTCTATCTGTGCTCAGTGCCTCATGGATCTTCCCAGCAAACCTCTGGACAGAGAGTAACTATTGTCATTAGCTGTATGTGATGGATGAACTGGGTTTCAGAGATTTAGACCCCACCCCAGCAAAGCTGTAGAGACCAGGTTTTGAATCCGTGTATCTTCCAAGCCCTTGTTTTTTCCATTCCATCATAAGTATTCTCTAGATGCCGACTATGTGACACATATAGGGCAAGACGCTTGGTTTAGAGAAAGTAATCGAAGGGGCCCTCCAGCACTGGCCTTGGGGTGACAGGGTCTGGGTTTGACCTCCATGTCCACCACTTTTCAGCTGAGGGAACTTGAAGAATAAATCGCTTCCCTATTCTGCGCTGTCATTTTATTATCTACAAAGTTGATGATCATATCAGAATTCAACAAGAACACAAATGTAAAGTCTTTGCCGTAGGCTAGCTGTGTACTTCTTTTTTTTTTTTAAGATACCTTTTTTCTCCTGACCGGGAAACGAACCCGGGCCGCGGTGGTGAGAGCGCTGAATCCTAACCATTAGCTGTGTACTCTTTGAGGGCTAAGTCAGCATGATTGGTGTAGGAACCCCAGCCTTGATACATAATGGATAAATGGTGAAATACTATTACTAAAGAGACCAATAAATATATATGTCAAGCATTAGAATCCAGGCTGGCCAATGCCAAAACAGAGTTACCCCGGGAGTTAGACAGGAAATACTTTCAAACATTTCAAACAAACAAGCCAAGGTTCTATAAGCCCCAGAGGTCTTTGTTGCTGAAAGTTAGAGAGGGTCTGGGGCAGTGACCGTTGGAATGGCAGGTAAATAGAGCTCACCTCCAGCCTCTGTCCCCACAGATGGAGCCTGTAAAAGAAGCTGAGAATGCCTCTCCCAGCTTCCCATGCCCAGCCTGGAACCGGAGACATGCCGATGTTGGGAGGAGCCAGGACTATTTGCTCTGAGCTCAGAGAAGTCAACAGCAATGAAGCAGGAGCCAGGTGGGGGCACCACAACTGGGCAGGCTCCTGAAACTCAGTCTAGGGCACGCAGAGGACGTTTTGGTGAGCAACCGGTTTTAGCCTGTAGACTGGGCTGACTACTGGACATTCAACCTTAGGCACTGCTGCCCACAGCTTTCTTCTGGGACTTACCCAGCTCCTCAGGTGAGGAAACTATCCAGCCTCATTTCTTCCCAACGCTCAAGGGCTCCCCTGCTTACTGGCTGTCTTTTACAGGAATGGGGATTAGTCTGAGGCTGAAGGGATGGGGTGGGGCAGAGGATGGAGAAGAAAGTTTCATCAGTCAATGTCCCTTGGCATGAAAAAAAACACTCTGCTTTTATAATGCTTGGCTTTGTTCTAGGGACATTCACATGTTTTCTCTTCTACGTAACTGTTAAAAAGGATGAAGGCTTTAGAAGTGAGTACAGTTCAGGTCCAAATCCAGGGCTGACTACTTCCTGGCTATGTGACTTAGAGCAATACTTCACTTTTTGGACCTACATCTCCTTCCATAAAAGAGGTATCATCATAACTTTTGCAGGATTATTTTAAGAATTAATGGCCGGGGGTGGGGGGTGGTGGAGCATAAACCAGAGGTTACATATCTGGCTAAAATATATCCATTGTCAGCTCACAGGGTACATTTTTAAAAATTTTGTATTTGTTACCAAAATTTAAAGGTGGGAGATTTTACATAAAATTTAATTTCTAGCTTCTCTTGAAAAAAGATCTGGCAACACAGCCCTGCAGTCTTATGTAGCAGCAGTGGGTCTCAAATTAGAGCAAAGAGCGTTGGAATCACTGAGGGGGCTTGTTAAAACACAGATTTCGACATCTCGACCCCAGAGTTTTGATGCAGTAGGTCTGGTATGTGAGGAGGAGTCGCTATAGTCAAGCTGCTAAGTTACTAAAATCAAGTAGATTGAGGTACGAGGCAACAATTGTGTCTTTGTTTAAACTAGCCCTGGCACTTAAACTTTTGAACTTTCCAGTCCTGCATCAATGCCGGGACATACATCAGACTCCAGATAACCCTCTGATTAACCCCTGAAGAATTCCTGTATCCAGACCACCTGGCATCCATCATCCAGACCACCTGACAGCTGACTGATAAACCATACTGGATCAGTCTAAGAATGCAGGACTGATTATTCTCAAGAATGTACTTTTTACTATAAGAACTCTTCACTTTCCTTTCTTCTCCAGAACACTTCTGAGGTTTTACCTAGTTATATTTCCAGTTCGCAAACCCTAAGCCCCTTGAATAAATCTTTATCATTTATTTCCAGCGCAGCCTCCAGAATCTTTTTGAGTTTATTCAACAGGTGGGAACTGAGAATTTGCATTCTAACAGGTTTCCAGGTGCAGATGCAAAAGAGGCCACATACTAAACCCGACAAGCTCAAGGAAGGCCAGCATGGTGGGCCCTACAAACTCAGAGACCAAAATTAACCACATAAGATGGTCTGAATATAAAAATTCCTAACTAAAAGCAAGTCGTGGTGGGTAGTCACATCCTGGGCCTGTAGCTTTCTTGACAAAGGTTAATCTTTACCTTAAGTGAGACTGTCCTTATCTTTTTGCATCTAAGATAACATATCCTTGGAATGTCTTCCCCTTTTTTTCCAGATCCTTCAGGGCACAACCCAATTCGCCAGAGCTCGAAACCACAGAACCCCTCGTGGTTACCTCGTCCCCCTGCATACCATCTCTGTGTGCTGTAAAGGTTAATTAACTGTCCTGTACCCATCAGTGTAAAGGAAGTATGTGTTCCTCCATTTTACTTTTTATCCAATCCCGGAGATTTCCCCGCTGCTTCGCTTTCTCCCGCCCCCTTTATCTACCACCAATGAATTTCCTGTAACCCTCCCTATGCCTCCTCCTTTGATTCTAATGGATAAAATTAGCTACGAAACTGCCATTCTCTGGAGCATTTTCTTAATTCGTTGAGAGTTTGCTTCCTGGAAATTATTGTCAGTTTGGCTCAAATAAATGCATTAAAATGCTCCACAGTTTTGGACGTTGCTTACATCAACAGAGGTGATGCTGACTGGTGGTGAAATGACCACACTTTGAAAACCATTAACTAGAGCTGCTCTCATTTTATGAGGGGAACGTTCTTTCCAGTTTCCCATAATCCCCAGCGTTCTTTATTGTCTAACATGCCCTGGCCCCAGCTCCAAATACTTTCATTCACATTACTTGCCTGGCCTGGAGGGTGTTTAAAATTGTGACCTCTGGGGTGGTTGCATAGGAAGTGTTCAGTAAAAGGTAGCTAGTATTTACTTAACAACTTTATGAATTAAGTATTATTATTCTCATATTAGAGATGACGAAACTAAAATTCAGCTTTGCAAAATGACTTCTTGGAAGAAACACAGCCAGAAAACCAGAAAGAAGACACTTGCCAGTGATTTCAATGTCACACACACACATACACACACACACACATATCTGAGGTTACTGTAGATGATGCATCGAAAGTTTTGGACATGACTTCATGAGCATAAAATAATATTTATCAGGGAAGAAAAGAGAGGAAATAGGAAAGAAGGAATGGTTTACAATGGGAGGTGATGTTAGTCAGTTGCAGACACACCCATTCTAAGATGACTATAAACAAGTTAACCTTGAAGAGTTCAGAATCTCCAGGAACAAACAGGGAGTCATACAATGGGGCCTTGTCCTCTTCGACCGTTGGACCCGCACAAACTTCCTTCACACAACTGAAAACTCTCTCTCTGAGAATATTGGCTATTTTGTTACCTAGCATCAGTTTGTCTAATTTCTGATTTTGCTTTGGGAAAATGATTCTTCCTCCACCCATTTCCAAATATAGCGGCCTCTTCTCTGCCCACATCCTCTTCTAACTCATAGTTAAGGCAATGACATAAATGCAAATCAAATTCTTTATATCAAAAATTTTTTCCTTCGTAATCTCAGTGCAAAACACCATGAAAAGCAGAGCTTCTATTTTTTGAAGCATCTGAGGCCTCTCGTAAATCCTTAGGGCTTATGAGGGCACAGCTTTCAAATTTCTTGTAGAGGACAACCTTTGGAGTCAAAGAGTCTTGAGTTTGAATCCTAACTCCCGCCATTATTGGTTTTGTGACCTTGGAGAAGAGATTAAATGTCTGAGCTTCAACTTTTTTGACTTTAAAATAAGAATAAGACCTCCCAAGGTGATTGGGAGGTTTCAAGATGAAGAAGTATGAGCAATGCTTGGCACATAGTATGTGCTCAGTAAGTGGTAATGGGTGTATTATTATATTATATGCCACTCTCAGAGATTACCTCTCTCAGAGCTACTCAGCGATTTTCACCAATTCAGTGATTTTTATCACCACATCAGGACAGGGCACTCATTCTGCTACTTATGCCCTCTGAGATGCCCAGCAGTCTCCATACTTTCTCTAAGCCTCAGTTTCCTACATGTAAAATGGGAGGATGCTGCCCTTCCTGTGGGCGTCTTTGAAGGGCTATCTGTGATCACAACTTTCTCTAAGCCTCAGTTTCCTACATGTAAAATGCTGCCCTTCCTGTGAGCATCTTTGAAGGGCTATCTGTGATCACGAATGTAAAGCACTAGCAATGTGCCTGGCACACAGTAGGCGCTCAGTACATGTTGATTTCCACCCTCCAACCTCTCCTCTGAGTCTACGACACTCAATCTTTTTTCTATCCTTCATTTTGGTCTTTTTCATCCTGTTGTTGGGCTTTTAACATTCCACTTGGGTGTCCCATCTTCTCAAACTCAACACCTCCATCAGTAGGACCAGCTCAGGCTCCTGCCTTGTCATTTAGGGCAAGAGATTCACAATTGGAGCATCACTGTTGACACGTCCTCTTTTTCCCTGTCCAAAGTCATTAAGTCTAATCTTCCTTCTGAACATCCTTCACATCTACTATTGCTTCCTCTGCAGCCCAGGCTCTTGGTACCTCAGGCATGAATGATCACATGCATCCGCTATATCCCTTCTAACTCCATACCATTGTGTATCCTCACTTGGATGCCTAACATACATCTCAAACATAATATCTCAAAATCAAATCTTGATTGCTCCATAACATGCTTCTTTCATCTCAGTAAATGGCAACTCGATTTTCCTAGGTGCTCAGGCTGAAAGCCTTACAGTCATCCATAACTCTTCTCTTTCTTTATAACCCACAGAATTCTATCAGCAAACTCTGTTGATTCTGGCCTCAAATATATAAATACATCCAGAATCCACTTCTCACCATTTCTACGATTCTTGCCTGGTCCAAATATTATCACATTGGCCCCCTTTCATCATTCCATATATTCTCCACATGTGACCACATATGGCTGCTCCAGTGGACAACCCCAACTAAGATCCCAGCCGACGATCAGCACCAAATGCTAGTTTTGTGAGGGAGCCATCATGGACATCTGGCCCACTCACACCAACAGACAAGGGCAGCCTCAGCCGCCACCTGACTCCAACTTCGTGCAGAACCCAAGGAAGGACCACCAGCTGATCCAAGTCCACCTACAGGACCACAGAGTTAATAATAAATTGTTTTAAGCCACTTGTTTTGGGGAGGTTCATTATATGCAATAGATCACCAGAAGAGTAGTGATCTATTGATGAATAAGGTATCTGCTCTCACAGAGCAAACTCTCTAGTGAAGAAAATAATCAAATAAATTAATGAATGGAAAATGTCATCACAGATATAGATAAAAGTGATAAAAAAAATAAAGCACAGTCATGTGATTGTAAATCGGGGGGTGAGGGGACCAGGGAAGTGTCCTCTGAAGATGTAGCATTTGAACTGAGACTACGTAAGATCTATCCATACAATCATCTGGGGCTGAGTATTAAAAACAAGTTTAAAGCTCGTGGCACAGTTACCTTTGTAAGGGGAACAGTCCTTTCTCACACGTCTAGATCTTTTCAGAAGTGGTGGAAATTGGCAGCTAGGGTACGTACTTTCGTCACATCCCAGATAAAATGTAGATTATGTAGTTGCACTTCATAAATGGTTAAATGGTTCGAGCCATTTTTATAGTTGTGATGCCAAAATAATTTAAAGAAAGTCTTCTACAAATGTTACGTCAGTAAATCGTATGTAATTTGCTGCCCATGATGAGCAAAAATGAGGTTTTATCATCCGCAACACAAGGGTGTGTGTTCAGGTGAAAGTGGCACTTCCTCCTGCTGCCACCAGAGGGCAGACAGTGCTTCTGTAAAGAGTGGTTCCTAAAGGCTGAACAAGGATGTCTGATCCCAAAGAAAACCAGCAGTGTCTCCCTGTGCAGACTCTTGAGAAACCAGAGGGTCAAATAAAGGGCAACGTGGGGCGGACACAGAATTATACCTGGGTGAGGCCAATCACTGAAGCCAGAGGGCTTTAGGTTACCCCTGAGGAAGACTGTGGCCCATTTGGGGGACTGTGGCACTCCTTGGACACTGGGAGGGACTTTCTAGGCGTGGATTTCTGGGAGGTGACACTACAAAATAAAAAAAGTTATTTGTTCCTTTCGTTGAAGCAGTAGACAGCACGTTGAAAAGCAGTCAGGAGCCAAGGAAACTAAAATCTATGTGCTTTCAATAAGTTGCTTTGGTGTATGGTGTTCAAAGCATTTCAGCACCATAATGAACGTAGTCCTCAAAAATGTCCAAACCCGTTAATTCCTTAAGGCAGATACCACCACCCTATTTTACAAAGAAGGAAACTGGTTCAGAGAGGTGAAGCGACTTGCCCAAGGTCACATAGCAACATCAAGAGCTACTGAAGCCAAACTCTTCTAATTCATACCAAGTTCTTTCACATCGCACTGTTATTAATGAATAATTATTAATAATAATTAAACAATATATTTATTATTTAGCATTCTTATTGCTGTCATCAGAGCTGCCATTCGTTGAGGTGTTACTCTCCCAGACACTTGTACAAAGCATTTTACAAATATATCATTGTAATGCTCTCACCATCATTCTCCGAGATTGATATGAGATGGAGAAAAACAGCGCCTGACTTCTGGGAGCTGACCTGACACCGTTAGCCTTTGATGTTCTCCGGAGGAACATTCACAGAACATCCAAATCAGACAAAGCCATTCCGTGCCCATGAAGGATCAAGACAAAAACAAGATACTATGTACTCATCTTTGAACACAGACAAAAAATGAGATTATACGTGCCGCAGAAATGACCAACACCCCCATATCCTGGCTAATATGAGTGGCTGCTGCTTCTTTGCTAACTACAGTTTTAACCTCCATCTAGTTTTCCTTCTTATAGTTAAAATTCAGATATCCAATCATAGAACTGCCCAATTCCAGACAGCATCCCATCCAGAGCAAAGCCAGCTTCCTTAAATGCTCCCCCAAGTCATCTAACACACTTTCCAATCCTGTAAGTCCTTTCTAGCATCCTCTGGGTCCCCAACGTGTGCATTCTCCCTTGCTGCAGTGAGTAACAAACTCAAGTCCTTAAACTGGAAACAGAAGTATTTCTAATGGTTGTGGCTGGAGACATCGACGGGTATAATCATTATCCTTCTTTTATAAATAAGAAAAGTAAAACTCAGAGAACTGAGCAATTTACCCAAGACTCCAAGGTAGTGAGTGCCAGCCCAGGTCTCTGGATGTTCTCATTTTCTCACCATCCCTGCTCCTTGAGCACTTTATGCCTCCAATTCCTCATGTGTAGTGAGACAGACTCCGCTCTCCAAAGTTTACATCTTCCCAGAGGCAGGGGCATGAAAACATTGTCAAAGGGGTTCCACTGAGGAGATCTGGGGACCTCCTTTTGACCGGGGACCCACTAGATTCTGAACAAGTCATTCCCACGATGCCTTGCAGTTGGGAAGGTCTAATAATCAACTTGAAGAGTGGTGCATCCTGGGATATACCTCCTTGAGACTTGGGCCCGTCCACCACGTAGCTTCCCCTACCCCTCCCCGCTCCTCTCGACCGTCCTCTTTCATTCGTTCATATTTCTGCATTATTTGTTTGCCACGGCTCTTGGCCAACTGGGGGAGACAAGTCAGGAGGATGACTTGGGAGCTCTTACCCTACCATTCTCCTATTCTTACACTAACCTCTCTCCAGTCAAGGGGCATCCTAGCAGCTTCTTACACTAACCTCTCTCCAGTCAAGGGGCATCCTAGCAGCTTCTGCATAAATCGTAGAGAGTGACAAGGGGAATTCCTCCAACTTTGAATCCTGAGAATATGAAAGCTGGTGGACAGGACTTAGCAATGTTGCATAAGAACCATAGAGACTTTGGGGCAGAGGGCATTTTCCTGATTGCCATCTCTCCCAATCTTTGTGGAACTGTCTTAGGACAAAAAGAACAGACTTGGTTAGTGGGTTTCTTTGGAATAGGGTCAGGACCAATGTGGAAAGGCAGGTGAGGGGGGAGATAGGGACACTTATCGAGATTGGCTAATGAAAAAATAATAGTCTAAAGATGAGTGCTGCCAAGCTGGCACCAGCTCCCCAGGAGATAGTAAGCTCCCATTAGGAGGAGATATAAAAGCTGAAGCTGGTTGACTGGCTGCCTCTTATGAAATTGTAGGATTTAATTATTCAGAAGCCTTCCGTGATTTTTCTTCCAACGCCAAATCCCTGCCCCATCCCAACATCCACAGTTACGTCACTCACCTCTGATGGTTCTGTTTCTAAGAGATGATAAAGGCTCGCTCCCCTCATGAGCCGAGACCAGCAGAATGCAGCAGGCTGAGGGCTCTTGTGAGGTGGTCCCCCATCCCTCCTGGGTAACTCCCCTTCCTCTACTCTACCCCAGGGGGACTTCTCAGCTCAGCTAGATTTGGGGTTGGGTGGACTTCGAGGAACGAGTTGGGGTCTCCTCGTCATTCCCTACTTGGAGGCCTGTACAGAGTCTAGCATCCTTGTGGTGATATGGGAAATGAACGGAATTAGAATCTTTTTTCATCTCCACATCTTCATCATGCCCAAAAGCTCGTCCTTCCCACCCCTCTTCTTTCTACCTGATAGAATCCAATTCACCCTTCAAAACTCAGCTCAAACACTGCCTCTTCTGGGAAGCTGGCCTCGACGTCTTCCGGTGAGAGTCAGAGTCTCCACCTCCCTCCCACAGCACGTATGTCACTGAAGTTCTGAGCCTCTGCCTTCCACACTGGGTGGGGAACTCTTTGCGGGTAAAGACGGTCCTGGTCTGGTAGTCTCCTAAGGGGGTTGCACTGGGGCATGGAAAGAAAATATTGAGAAACTTCTACTTATTTGTTTCTAAGCTCCCCTTTATTAAACTTTACACTATCAAACACTTATAATATACATTACAGTACAGCAGTGCGCATATAATTATAAATAATTATAGAAATGGGAGCCGCACACTCCAAATCATTTTACTGACATGGCTACGAATGGTCAAATAAATTTGGAGGGTACTGTTTTGGTCTTTCCCTGGTGCCTAGCATGAAACGAGTTTTAATACATGAGAGAATGAATGAATAATTGATGTTGCCTAGGCTTAGTTTATTAAAATGATCACATGTATTAGCTGCTTGAGTGTGGGGAAGATACTTAGACCCCAAGTTCCACATCCGTGAAATAAGGAGTTTGGATCATTTCTCTCCCACATACCTTCCAATATCAATGTATTTCTAAGTGATGTCTGAGTCACTCATTGTCCAGTAGGGGACAGTATAATTTAGTCAATAATAATCCTAGTAAATGTTTAAGTTGCATGAATTACATGCCAGGGTCTCTGGTCTAAGGGCTCAATGTATAAATTCATTGATCTTCACAACAACCCCATGTAAGGGGAAGCCAGGCACAGAGAGATTAAATAACTTGTTCAAAGCCACATAAATATAGTGGCATAAGTTATATGCCCTACCCTGGCCCGTGGGAGCTACCCATCCAAGTGTTGCTGGCTGACTTCCAGCTGCCAGTATAGTAGTACCCCCTCTTATGCATGGTTTTGCTTTCCACAGTTTCAGTTAATATTCCCAAATAGTAAATGGAAAATTCCAGAAGTAATTCATAAGTTTTAAATTGCACACTGTTCTGAGTAGCTCACTTCATCTCAATCACATAGGCACTGTATCATCTCACATCATCACAAAAAGGGGGAGTACAGCACAATAAGGTATTTTGAGAGAGAGAGATTGAGACGCATTCACTGGGGGTCCTGGAACATATCCCCCCACGGACTAGGGGGCACTTCTGTACCTGCATCTCTTTGCTCAAGGGCTTCCTTGGGAACCACACAAAGACAGCCTACGCACAGAGCAAGCCAGAGTCCTCAACCCCTGAATGACAGGGAGTTGGTGTGTAAACACCCCCTTACTTCTTGGGCAGATGACAGTAAGGAAGTGCTCTACCCGACCTCCCCAAGTCCTCTGTGGGTATAGCACCAGTCACAAACAGCCATGACAGGCTTGATGACTCAGTGTCTGCAGGCCGCCTTTCCTTCCCTTTCTTGCCCACCCCCAGCTTACCTAACAAGCTACTGCCCTCTGCTCCTTGGGAACCCCAAAGGAGCCCTTTACCCTCAAAGAGTTCCCCACCCAGTGTGGAAAGCAGAGGCGCAGATCTTCAGTGACATACGTGCTGTGGGAGGGAGGTGGAGACTCTGACTCTCACGGGAAGACGTCGAGGCCAGCTTCCCAGAAGAGGCAGTGTTTGAGCTGAGTTTTGAAGGGTGAGTTGGCTTCTATCAGGCAGAAAGAAGAGGGGTGGGAAGCACAAGCTTTTTGGGCATGACGAGGATGTGGAGATGAAAAAGATTCTAATTCCATCCATTTCTCACAGCCTGGCAGTCCAGGCTGGAGACTCTGGCCTCTTCCTCCCTTCAAAGGACAATAGCTTTGGGACAGTCAGCTCAGCCTGAGTTCTACCATTTATACGCTCTTACGGGTTGACTTGTGTCCTCCCACAAAAGAGATTTTGAAGTCTTAACCCTCTATCTCAAACTGGGACCTTATTTGGCAGTAGAGTCTTTGGAGAGGCGATCAAGTTAAGCTGAGGTCATGAGGGTGGGCCCTAACCCAATATGACCAGAGTCTTTATGAAAAGGGGAAATTAGGACACGGATGGGGGAATGCCATGTGAAGACTGGACTTATGCTGCCACAAGCCAAGGACTTCCCAGGACCTAGGAGAGGGGCCTGGAACAGACCCTTCTCCAGCACCTTCAGAGGGAGCTTGGCTCTGCTGTCTCCTCGATGTGGGACTTCTCACCTCCAGAACTGAGAGAATCGATATGTGTTTTTTAAGCCACTCAAGCACTATTATGACAGCTCCAGGTAGCTAACGTGTCGGCCGTGCGACATCTCTGTGCCTCCATCACCTCCTTCGCAGATTCTTAGGGCGACTCAGGAAGTGAGGCATGTAAAATGCTAGGAACGGAGCCTGGTCCACAGAAAGTGCTCACTGAAGGGGTTGTTGCTATTGTAACTGAAGTAGCGAGCCCCCTTCCCCCCACAAACAACCTCAAGGAAGGCAGTTCCTTGGACAAATGGACAGTATTGAGCCTCACACTCTTCCTTTCTCCTTCAGAGGGTCCAGGACAACCTGCCTAAACATTTGACCCAGCTCAAAACGTCAAGAACAAAGGCTTTAGTGTTGAAGTGTCACCCAGGTTTTTATGTAGCTGGGAGGTGGGGTGCACATATAGAAGTCGATGGCACCCTAATGAGTTTGCTTCCTATACCTGGTAGGTAGGTCCGGGTCTGAAGGCGGAAAAGGGGCAGGTATCCACTGCTTCGCAGAATGACGTGAAGTGCCACCATTTTTATGGACTGATGGACAGGACACAGGTTCTTAGTTGCAAACAACAGAAATGAATTTATTTAAATCTAAAGCCAGAGAGAGCGTGAGGCCTCAGGCAGGAAAAAGTGCTACATGGCTGTGGGGGAGGGGCTTCCGTAGTGAAAACTCCTGTGACTCTCAGAACCGGAAGACAAGTTCCCCCATGGCCACCCCCGAAGATCCTACAGATGGTAGGGTGGGGGTGGGGTGAGGAAACGGTGAGAATGGGGTAAGGGTTGGAGCCCTGGCTGCAACCCTCGGCCCTATAGTCGGCCCAGTGGAGGAGAGACGTGCTGTGGGGGTGTCTTCTCTGTGCCAGGAACTGAGAGCTCGGGAGAGAGCGATGAGAAAGACAAAGGTGCACGGTTGCTGCTCTCACGGTGCTTCGTCTCCTGGACAGCGAGTGGACTGTGAGGACAGCAGGGCTGAGAAGGGAGCAGAGTTGGCTGGACCGGTTCGGAAGGCTGCACGGTCCGGCGCTGCGTGGGACCTCCTGCAGCATCTCGGGATGGCCCGGTTTCCAGGCTCCCGGCAACCAGAAGTGATCCGAGGCAGTCCATGCTGACAGATCCTAGCCCATCCCCCAAAAGAGGAACCACGCCACCCCCAGGACCCAGATGACCCACGAAGGAGTGGGTTTGCCACGCCTGAGTGGAGGCGGCTCAGGAGCACTGCAGACCCACTCTGCACGGTGGCTGCCCCAGTGTCCCCACCTGATAAGGAGAACAGGGCAGAAGGCCCCGATTGTGTCAAGGGGCCCTAGCAGTGACCTTTTGATAAGCTGGCCGTGGAGGATGTGATTTCACAGGATGCTGCTGCCACCTCCTCCTCTGAAGGCATCGAGGAAGAGTCTCTGCGCAGATGTGAGGAGTGTGGGCCCCCTGACCTCTAACTCCATCCCTGCCCTTCCCCTCCCTGCCCTATTAACCCCCCTTACCATAGGCCCAAGGCTTGTCTTTGTCCTAGGACTCCACCTCGTACTCAATCTTAATCTGGAGCTCATCTTCATACGGGTCGTTGTCCTCATCCTCACCATTGTCCTCGAAGTCCTCGTCCATGCTTTCATCATTTATCGCGTACTCAATCTCGATCTCGGGTTCATCTTCGACCTCGTCATCGTCCTTGGAGTTCTCATCTGTGTCTCTGTCCTCAATCTTGTCCTCCAGTATGTCCTTGATCTCATCCTCGGGTTCAGGCTGGGCCTCGAGCTCGAGCTTGTACTGGGCCTGGAGAGCTGGCCTGTGCCCACTGCAGACCCTGGTGCACTCTTCCTTGGTCAGGAAGTTGTTCAGCTTTGCTCTGCCACCGCCAAACATGAAGTCCTCGCAGAGTCCCGAGCTGGTGTTGAAGAAGAATCTGTGAATCGTGGCCTCACCGGGCCCCTGGTAGGGAGGCTCCAGGCAGAACACGGGACGGCCTGCAGGGGTGCGAGAGGGCTCCGGGTCAGTTCTGCAGAAGGTCAGCCCATGAGGATGTGGCCCAGTGACAACTGAAATGACCCGTGTGTCTCCAGAGCCAACGATCAGGGGGTGGGAGATGCGAAACCTTCTTTCGATGGCTTGCTTTCTGGGGCATTATGAATTTTGTTAGGTGTGACAATGACATAGTGATAATGTAAATCATTATAGATCTTTAATAAGCATTTATGGATTCATTGGCATAATGACTGAGATTAGCTTAGAAAAACTTCAGAAAATACAAATGGAAATGTACACAAATACTATCCTCTACATGTCAATAATTGTTGAAGCCGGATACTGGGTACATCGGGTGTGTTATGCTAATCCCTGTATTTTCCAGTATGTTTCAAAATTTACACTCTTAAAGAAAAGTTTGTTTGTTTGTTTTTCCCCCTCTTTAATTCCTGCCCCTGCTCCCGACCTATGGATGTTGCCATTTCCCCTTAAGAACTAGGTCTCTGAAGGCGGGGCGTCTCCTCCCACATGCTCGCCATGTGCACCCAGGGCCTGGCTTTAGGTCTCTGAAGGCGGGGCGTCTCCTCCCACATGCGCACCATGTGCACCCGGGGCCTGGTTCGTGGCTCCACCTGGGTTGCAAACCCAGGACCTTCTGCATATAAAGCAGACACGCTAACCACTACGCTATGGAGCCACCCCCAAGAAAAGTTTTAAAAGTACCATGTTATAATGGAGAAAGGCATGGAAGAAAACATACCAGTGTGCTAACTTCGGTTACCCTGGGTGGACAGAAATAATGTAATACGGAGAGGGTGTGATATTGTTGCTTATAATATGTATTTGGTCCAGGTCCCATTCCTGGCACAGAGCTGCTAATATCCTCAGAATTTCTTAGTGGTTAGAGCAATAAAAGTGGCATATCGAGGTCGCTTTTGGAAAGCCTCTAGATAACCTAAGGAAAAAAGTTGGTTGCCAAGGGAATTAACCAGTATGATTAGAAAGTTGGAAATTTCGGCCCCATACCCTCCAAGTGCCTTCATGTGACTTCCTGATTGAGCAAGGCCCCACGCTCGTGGGAGAGGGGAGGGGCTGGAGATTGGTTCCATTGTCCATGGCCAGTGATCTAAACAACCGTGCCGATGTGATGCCGCCTCCATAAAAACACAAAAGGACGAGGTTCGGAGAGCTGCACAAGGAGGCGCGTGGGGAGGGGTGCCTGGGGTGGGTGTGAAAGCTCCGTGCCCTTTCCCCATGCCCTGCCCTCCGCATCTCTTCCATGTGGCTGTTCCCAACTTAAGTCCTTTTATAATAAACCTGGAATCTAGTAAATAAAATATTTCTCTTAGCCTCTCTAGCATATTAATCAAACCCCAGGAAGGGGTGGTGGGAACTTCTGAGCCACAGTCAGTGCATCAGAAGCACAGGTACCAATGTGGATTTCTGATTGGCGTAAGCTATCAAAATATAAAATGTCTTGATCAATATTTAAGAATTTAAGTCTCTGAATTGTCCAATATATTTTGTTCAGCCACAGACTTTTTAGCCCTTTGAATAAACCATCAAATATAAAAATATCACGTAAGCGTCCAGCGCCCAGAGGAGCAGCTCTCAGGTATGAGACGAGCTTTGCACCACTCCGGAAGTTGCTTGCTTATACGTAAGAAATCACAATTCCCTCCCTTACAAAACCACCTGACTTCTGCTGGGAATTCTTAAACCCCAGATAACTGGTAAGGGTTTCTAGGGGCACTGCCCCGGACTCATTACTCCCCTGTCCCCTAGCCCCACCCCAGCCAACAAAACACAGAGATGAATGAGTCTGGGGTTCTTCTTCATGACATCAAACATGTTGTGTGTCTACCAACACCATCCAATTCTCCAACACCAACTGGGTGCCCTACAGTCAGTTCACCTGAGCTCACCTGTGACACTCATCCCTGGAGTTGGCACTGACCCCACACGTTAAGGGCTCAGTCCACAAGACTGCCCACTTCCAATCAATGCCAGTCACAAGTCCATGGGGGTGACTCATACTTCTGACCAATCTGGGGTTCCATGACCCCAACCCCCAGGTTCAATAATTCGCAAGGACAACTCATGGAACTCAGGGGAGCACTTCACTTACTGTTACCAGTTGATAATAAAGGATAAAACCCAGGAACGTCCGAATGGAGGAGATGCGCAGGGCAAGGTGGGGTGTGGGGGGATGGGCAGGCTCGAAGCCTCCACTCTCTCTCTCTGGGTGTGCCACCCTCATGGCACCTCAGTGTGTTCATCAGCCTGGAAGCTCTCCACCAAACCTGTGATGTTTGGGAGCCTCGTCAGTCAGGATAATTGATTGGCTCATTGCCCATTGCTGATTGGACTCAATCTCTGTACCCTTCCACTCCCTGGAGGAGGTGGGGGGAGTTGGAAGTTGGAACCTAACCACCAGGCAGGTTATCTCAGGCCCCTCCTGAAGCTGCCTAGGACCCCCGGCCTGAGTCATCTCATTACCATTCCAAGATCTGTATGAGACCTGGACCAGGAACCTAGACAGATTAAGTATTTATCTTTTCATTACACTCCAGCGAGGTTCAGGAAGCAGGTAGGGACCAGGAATAGAGAGCCTCAGAGACAGGGTCATGATCTGTTAGAGCTGTCTGATGAATGTTAGGCAGGATATTTTTAAAGCTGATAACACAATGAATTAGTTTTTAGAGTCATGAAATGTTCCCAGAGTTAAAACTCCCCAATTTCCCAGGAGAAATCTAGAAGAGAGAGGATTGGCTCCATGCACCCTCATGTACCCCTGCTCCCCCAGCCCCTTCCACAAACTCATCTTCTGCCCCAGTACACAAAGGAGAGATGAACTGGGACTTACTGGTGTCGCTTCCTTGGGCGCCAGCCACCAGGATGCTCAAGAGGACGAGAGGGGCTGCAGAGAGGCAGAGGGCGTCCATCTTCCTAGGCTGGAGGGAGAGCTCCTGAGGAAATGTGGAGGTTGACAGAGCTTTTAACGTCCCAGCTGAGGGGTGGGAACAGATGAGCGGGTGGGGAATGAGAAAGGGGAGGAGCTGGGGTCAGTCCTGTTCAAACCACAACATCCCCACCTCCCCAGGCTCTCTGTTTCTTCCTGCTGGGGCCAAAGTTCTCAGTAATAGTGCTTCTCAAACTTGAACGTGCCTGCAATCACCTGGAGATCTTGTTGAAATGCAGATTCTGATTTAGCAGGTCTGTGGGGGTGGGGGGAGGGGGCTGAGAAGCTGCATCTCTAACAGGCTTACTGTTACTGGTACCTCCCCAGCCCCTTTCCTGTCCTATGAAATGGGCCACGGAACCACTCTTTGAGTACCAAGACTGGAGGAAACCTCATTGTGGGGCAGGAGTGGGGAAAAGGGAGAGCAAGCAAAGAGAAAATCTGTTTTTCTCACACACCTTGAGAAAGTGGCAGAGGAAACAAGATCAGGAAGAGGTGAGTCCCAGAGAATCCTCAAATTCTTTGTCCATCTGCCTGAACCTCCACTTTTACCTTGTTTCTTTGGAATGGTCACATAATCTACCATGTGACCAGTACAAGTCGCTGACTTCTGAAAAAAATGAACAAGTCCCCCCAACCCCTGCCTCCCTCAGAGGATTAAGCAATTGAGCAGATTTCCATCGCTTGCATCACACTACACGGCGTGTACAGCTTGGTGAGACTCAGCATTACAATGTCACTCACCCAGCTACTACGGAGACCCATGGGTCTGGATGTGATTGAATTGCCAGGAACCACTAACAGGTTTCAAGTACCCTTGGGAGAGGAAACACCCTAATTTTTATCTTATACTTAAAGAACAGTGTGAAGAAATAAAATGGAGTCACTATAGTCGAGATGCTAAATTACTAACATCGAGTAGGATGAGGCATGAGGAAATGATTCTATTCTTGTTTTAAGTCGCCTGGAAACTTAAGTGTTTGAACTTTCCAGTTCTACGGCCATGCCTGGATATATATCAAATCTACTGATAAGCTTCTGATTACCCCTGAAGGACTAAGGAAAGAATGTTCACATATCCAGACCACATCACATCCATTATCCAGGTGGCTTGACATCCATTTTCATTACCCAGCCCACCATCCACTAGAGGATGACCATCTCAGACCAACCCAGAGGCTGATCATGCAGGACTGATTCTTCTCAAGAATGTCTAACTGTAAGAATTCTTAGCTTTTCTTTCTTCTTCAGAACCCTCGGGGTATTCTCTAGTTGTATTTTTGGCTTCCCAACCATTAATACCCTTGAATAAATCTGTATAATTTACCCAGCAAAGCCTCCAGACTCTTTTTGAGTTCATCTGATGTACTGGAGACAAACTCAATTGGGAGGGCAGGACACCGCCATGGCTAAGACTACATGTTTCACTGTCAGGAAGACCTGGGTTTGGCAAATTTCTTAGTGTGTCTGAGCCTTGCTACCCTCATCTATAAAACAGGTTTGTTTATAACATCAACCCTTATTTCTTAGTGCTCTTGTTGTGAGGGTATTTGTGACTAGTAGACAATGCTCAGCTCCGTGTCCATTGGTAATAAAATGCTCAGCAATTCAGGGCTCCCGTGATAATCATTATGACACATATGGTGAAGAAATAAATTTTCCTCCACACTTCTAGGGATTTTTGGCTGATCTAATAATTAAATCTACAGGAGACAGATTAACAAGAGAAAATAACCAGATTTAATTACATATGAGAACTCTGCATACATGAGAGAGTCAGAGCCCCACATACTTGAGAGGTTCAGAGATAGAAAAGTATAAGGTATATATGGCCTCCCGAACCAAGGAATGACGTAAAATGCCTTGGGGTTTCAGAAGGGAACAGGTCATTTGCAGACAGATATGACGGTCAGATATTCAGCAATTAGATGTTTGCCCAGCCCTACATAGGTCATGAATAGTTATATCTGATGATAACTCTTATTATCTCATTTGGAAAGGCCTCAAATTCTTTCATGGAGAGAGAATAGGTTCTCTTGAGCCTGCGGTGTCTCGATTGCTATCAGCTCAAAATAATCCACATGCCAAAGCAGCACATTTTGGAGAGGCCTGTTCTGAACCTTCTAGTCCCACCTCTGAAACTTCCTGAGAAGTTTCACCTTACAGATGTTGGGTCGATAAACTGAATTTATAGCTGTTTTTTTACCCATTGCAGAATCTCTGATTTAGGAACAGATTGCTTCCATGATACACGGGCAGCTGGATAGCAAAATTTGACACTGAGGGGTCATTTTTACAGAAGCAGAATGGACTTCATCCACATGTGCCACGGTCTTTATAGACTTTGTTATGGCTGCTTTTGCATAAAAGTCAGCTAAGGCATTTATTTCCCTGATACTCAGGTTCAGTCCTTTTAGTGAGCATCCATTCTGATGACATATATTTTATGCTAAGAGATATCAGACTTACAATATTTTCACAGTTTCTGGGACACTTCTATCATATACGTATGCAGACATAAGATAAAGAAGGCTAAATGTTTGGATCCTGACTAAATAGGATCAAGGGTTATTATGAAACAATACTCAACTATCTATTTGACCAAAGTAACAATAAAAGATATCAAAGACAAATACAGAAAGTTAGCACTTATTATTGTGAACATTGTTTTCTTAAGTAATCAAAGACCCAATTAAGATGACACACACACACAACACATAAACACAGAATCTTTGCTTTCTTGGCAGATTACTTGAAAAAAAAATTTTTTTTTTACTATCTCTTATTAGTACAACAAATGGACAGTCCAGGAAAACTTTGTCCTTTCAGCAGATGAAAAGAAATTGTTAGTGTTATAATATACATCACTGATATCAAAGCTTAATTTTTAAAACCCTCATAAAAAATTCAATCTTATCAGCTTGATCAGACATAAAACTCCTTTCTCAGATTCCTTTTTCATAAACTTTCTACAACTTTTTGTATCTATTTTAGTTTGTCTCTTGTTCTCTTGCCCATCCAGAAAAAAAACAACTTTATGTTAGGACTGAATTACCTTCTTTTCTTACCCTCAAAAATACATCTCTATACCTTAGTCCTTCTATTACCAAAAACACATTTTCTTCCATATTAATTAGAATTATTAATCCTTAGAAACTTTAATTTTTAGTAAAAACTAAGAAGAAATTGTGAACTACCTGTTACACCAGTATTCTGTAGATTGATAAATTTATAAATACATTTCATAATTTCTAGAAACATATGCTTTTTCATAGTACAGTCTTTCAATGTGGCACATGTTTACTAACACACCTGCATTTATCTTTTTGTTTCTCTGTAGTAAGAAGCCAAAAGTTGATAAACCTATGTTTAGTAATTAATGTTTCATTATTTTGTCTTATTTGGAAATGATCTGGTATTCAATAATTTCCATAACTTAATTTAACTTTGCAAAAAATTCTAAGGTTTCAAGTTAGCAAAGGATTTGGGAAACTATTTTTAAGTACATATACCACAATACACCATTATTGTTAACAGTTTTTCCTCAAAACTTCTTATTCTACTGACATCTATTTAAAATACTTGCTCTAACAATTATATTTAGAGCACTTATGAAAATTAAATTATACTGTTATTTTTCTTGCTAAAAAATATTTTTCTTGCAAGAGAAATAACATGAGCTTATTTCAGTAAACTTAGGCAAAATAAAAGAATTATATTTAGTGGTGATAACTTTAAACACTTGCCTATTTTAATTAAACAAACACATTTAATTAGCTTTAATACCAAATATTCCTTCAGATCATATGAACCTGAAAGGCACTTGGGTTAGTTTCTACTATATTATTGAGAATTTTTAAAATATAACTGCTTGTTTAAGCCAATTGGTCTTTGACAAATGAGCAATACCATCTAGACATAGAAAATACCACACAACACACATGAACAGACAGATGCAAACAGAGACCTTCTAGCCTTCATTTTAAAATTACTACCATGAAATTACAGACATGATAACGTAAAATTCACTAGTTATAAAAGAACAGTTTGAATAAGTTAAGTTTATCCGCTCCGATGGTTAAGGCTTTTTCTTATTAATATTTGTAGAGAAGACACTTAATCTCATGGAAGTTATGGGCTAGATTTTCAGCAATGGTATTTCTATACTTGTTTGTATTTTTTAAAAATTCCTTTCTTTTCTTTTTTCTTCAGTCTTATGAATTGAAGATGGTAAAGATAAGTGGACTTTGGACTGCTTCTAGAGCTGCATGTCTGGTTTCACAAAGATTTGTGAGATAAGGACAGTTGCTCTCAATTCTCCCCAAAGAATTAGGTTGTAACTTAAAGGACAATATAAATTGATCTGCTCATCCAACTACGTCATCCCTAATTTGGTTCTTTCTCTCTGGGTACATAGTATTATTTTAACTAAGGAAAGAAGACCTACCAAAAAAAGAAAAGAAAAGAAAATGTCTATCAGGCTCTGCGTATCCCCTTCCAATTTGGTCAAATTTCTAGCAAGAAGTTATTAAATCATTTCAAATTTCTCATCGGTTGGGAAAAACAGTAAATATTTCTGGCAGTATTAAACAATTCATGATATCATTAACAAAATTCTCCCAAATCAAATTTTAAGTGAAGTCTTTCTGACCTCCAACTAACTTTGGAATTTTCCAGAGGGTTCCTGGAACATCACAAAAGACCACTTTTCTCTCCTTATAAAAAGAGAAATGTTAAACTAATTAGGCTCATTTGATACGTTAAATTACCTAGGAAGCATTGCCAAATAATAAGTAATGCTAAACCTTCTTAGGTTATAATTGTATTGGTATATGTTATTAATATAAGTGTTCCGGAATTGCAGAAAATTCTTAAAAATCTGATATGTCCTGGTATAATGTTATCAGTCATAATTCCAGTTATCTTCTTTGTGTGATAATCAGAGCCAAATGTGAAAGAAGTTAAAATAGCAAGTGATTCAGTAAAAGGTCAGTTACTTTATTTGCTGATTACCCATAAATATTAAAGACTGC